TTAGTCAATCCAGACCAGCAGTTCCTACAACACAGCAGCCTATTTCTCTCTCTAGATACAGACAGTCATTTGCAACCAGCTGAAGACAGAAGAGCTGACACACAGAAGCAGACTTAGGAATACAGAACAGGACTGTAACCATGGGTCTCTATCTACAGCTTATTTCAAATTAGCCCTTAAAAACAAACCTATGGCTAGTCCTTGCTCCTTCTGTTACCTTATGAGCTGACAGAACATAACTACAGCCCTCAAAAAACCAAATTAAGCTCCCTCCCACAGCTACACCTCAATCTTTTGCCAGCATTATTGCTGCAACCTGCGCTGCTTTTCTCTGGGAATTCTTCCTCCCCTCCTAGTCCATCAGTTCCCACTCAAAATGCCCATCAGTGACTGCTATAATGCCCTTGTTTCTCTTCTGTCACCCCTGCCCATAAACCCAGGTAGAAGCCCTTCTTCCCAACTGATCCCAGCAACATCCCTCCACCTACAAGGTAAGGTGCCTGCGAGTCAGGCCGTGAGCCTACAGAATCCCACGCGCACCAGGAGCCTGGTAGGACAGAACTAGCCAACCAGCTCTCCGAAGGAGGCTCAGCAGCTCTAAGCCACTGTTACAGACATGTTACTTGACAAAGAGAAAGCTTTCCGGTAAGGCAAGAGAAGATGGTGAACTCCAGATGGTGGTAAAGTGCTTTTTACAGCAGTCCTCACTCCTGGCTTCAATCTTCCTTACTCTGAGGTAACTATTTTCGTGCACTGAAGACAAACTACTGTGACTGAAACACCACCAGTTCCCATAGCTGCTCTGCAATTTTGAAGTCTGCCAAAAATAAAACACAAACCTACACTCCAAAGATGTAACATACCTAGAATCAAACAGAGAGCACTCCTGAGCAAAAGAAACGTCTGATCTTGTTTGTATCTCTGACCACACGCACGGGCTGGCTGGGCCTGGAAATCTAGAGACCTCTTCTGCAGCAACTGGGAGGGACTACAGCCATGCTTGGCTGGAAGAGGGAATGTGAAACAAGTCAGATCATTAACAAAGCAGCACAGAGTGGTTAAACATCGGACTTCAAAATTAAGTCAATAATCAGCACCCACAGCAGACATTCCAGCAGTTCTTTCATTGGGCATGAAATAGTTAAACAGCTTCTCAAAGATGAGTGGCAATCAGGGTTAGAGCTTAGGCCTTAAGTTCCTGGCTCCCAGCCTTGAACCCAGACTATCAGACTTCTACATATCTCTGGATTACACTTGAAAGAACATTCAGATACAGCAGCTTGACTCTTTTCCTTCTGCCAAGTAATTAAACAAATTTGACTTCATTTGTTCTGAAGTACAGACTCATTCCATTAAGCAAATGTCTAGTTTTCAGAGACAGTTTAAACTCACAGTTCTTAGTTGTTTGCAACTGGAGTTGCCTTTATGCCACGTCTTGGAGAACACAACAGCAGAAGAGTAAAAACAGCTCCCAAAAAAAACCTACCACTGCAAATCTTTGTAATCCTTTTCTATAACCCTTCCCGTAAAGGAAAGGGGCGCCAAGGTAACATGGCAGCATCTGCTTTCAGGTATTTCTGGACAATTAAGTCTTACTCACACTGAAAGCGTGATGGCACAAAAGAAAAACACACGTTACAGATGCTTTGGATAACCTGACCGCTGAACTTATCGCGCACCACGACTGTGTACTCTGCTGCGAAGTCCTGTCTAACCTCATGTCCTGGCTCTGGATTCTCCAGAGCACACGGAACAAGCTGAACACAGACCTGTCACAGCATCAGGCTCCAGCTAGACAAATAAAATGAAGGAGGGAGGAAAACTTGCGTTGAGCAAAGAATCAGCTATTTCAGAAACAGAGGCCACACCAGCTGCAACACCCCTGTCCTGATGCAACAGGCTGCTAAATCACAAAAAGGCCAACTTTTGCCCTCAATTAAAATTAAGGGCCCCGATTACAATGGAGCTGACACTCAGCTTTCGATTTCTGGGCTTCTCGTTGTGATTTGACAGGGCCAGGCCACAGCTTACAGCCAAGGATAAACTCCATCCATACCAAGAGAGGCTGTAGCTGTCTGCTTCTCTCACAGCCCTATTCCTCAGGCTAGAAAAGCTTTGCCACAGCAGGAGGACACAGGCAGGCCCCAGACAGAATCTCATTGCCATCTTCTGTCCTCGGGTTTTGTGACAGCTTTCCCCTCCACCCTCGTTAGCTCCGGAACATTGTCACGTCCATCCATCACAGCGCTGAGATTCAACACTATCACAGTCACGTTTCAGCCATGGAAGCCAGCACATACAGACTTTATAACAGGCTCAGCAGCTAAAGAATGACAGGTTACACGTCATACATGAAGGCTGCGAGTCAGCGCTGACCTCGGATGTATCGGAAGCTGCGTACTAGCCTCCTTAGCCAGCTGTTGGAAGTCGCTGCCGCTCTCACTGTAGCAAAAGTGTTGTTCTCCACTGGGCTGCGTTATAGGCAACCTCGTGAAGGGACCACTCGTTTTGCATTCCACTGATTAGCGCAATTAACAGATGTGGTTTCCTTGGTTAACACTCCTGCGAGGTTCGTTTGAGGTAGCTCCAGTACAAATACTGCAGGGTTGTGTTAGGAACAGGAAGAAAACAGAAAGTGAAAGCTCCCACTTCTTTCAGGTTTGGTTTTTTCTCTTTGTTGTCACTGAAGTTTCAGCATTCCACAAGAGTTAGTTTTAAAAGTTAAGATCTAAAGCCACTCAGAACCCAAAAATCCACACCCTACGTACTGCTGCACGCCAACTGGCATCGTCCTCGGTCACAGCCACGATTAGAGCCCACACCCGTCAGCCTGCGGAGCACAGCGCCTGAACAGTCGGCTCCGCTCCAGACGAGACACCCTTCAGCTTTCGCCACGGTGCCTGCCACCGGCAAGCAGACAGCAAGGCAGGGAGAGGAAAAGGGTCCTCAGGCCGGACTTCCAGCCCCGGTGCTTGGCAAGGAGGACCCAGAAGCATGCAAAGCTGCTGTTCCAAATTCTGCAGGAACCACACAAGGCTCCACTGAAGTGGCCCTTCAAGCCAGAAATATAGCTAATAAAAGAAAAAATGCGACCAGCTGGATACATTAACCCTTCCAACAGCATCACAGGGACACAAGAAGCACAGCAATGCGAAGGACAGCATGGAAGCGAAACTTGCACTTGGATCAGTCAGCTGGCTTTCAGTTTTCTAGCCTGAACTGCGGGAGCCAAACACACAGGAAGAGGAGAGAATTTCAGCTCAACAGATTCATTACAACTGAGTCGAGTCCCAGTCCTGGGACCTCTCTCCAGCATCAGGCATCTGCATTTCAGGATGTCTCGCAGCGTATCCGGGGTTTGTACCTTAAGGCTCTAGCTGACAGTGACATGAAACTTCTCGTTGGAGACAGCATCAAAAGGCTACATCTTCTGTAAAACCAAAACCGGACACTCTTACAACCTCACTTTCTCACAAACCACCCTGAGCGCTTGCTGCTGCTGAAGCCGGTTAATTCACGCACAGCGAAGGCTCTCCCGACCTCGACCCACGGTGGCTCCGCAGCGCAGCCGCTAAGCCGGCAGGAAGCACGGGGCTACCAGTCGCCTTCCCTACCCGGAGTACAACACTGCAGACAGCTGAGGAAGTCAAGGACTGACCATCTCCTGACCTCTGCATTTTCAGACCCCTGTAAAAGCCACTTTACCACCCACAGATATACACACACCCCTAGAGAAAGGTCATTACTATTACATGCGTGTCAACACGTCTATTCTCACGAAGAATTACTTGCCAGCATCTGCCACACAACCACGTCATCTCCAGTATTTGTACTTAATTAAGGATTTAGTTTGATGTAATTGAAATGAAGGTTACAGAATTCTATGTCTGCCAGGGAAGAAACTGAACTACACTGAACAGCGTTTTTGAGTTGAAGCTTTACAATGTACTTACTGAAGAATTTAAAATGAAACTTCAGAAACAACTGTTACAGCTCTCTGGCTCCCAAAAGCCAGCTTTCACCCCGTCAAGGGCTGGAGTCTCTGACAGTGCACTGTTTGCCACACACTGCAGCTAATAAATAAAAACAGGTCACTTCTGTTCATACTGACTTTTTCCCCTTTGGAAGTTCATTTGAACCCCACGTCAGACCGGGAAATAACGGAAAGCGTAGTTACCGCTTTTCTAAATACAACATTAATCTCACTTGGAAGTGGGATTCACGAAGAAAAACCCCAGGGAATTACGCAGGCGGCAAGGCCAACCGCTGGCACAAGAAGGACGTGTAACCCCCGCCCTTAGGGGCCGCGCTGTGCGAACAGGACTTCACGGCCACAGAAACCCAGATGTCAGGAGGAGTCTCCTCCAGAGAGGACGGCAGAAGCAAGCCGGCTCCCTGGCACAGCAAGTGAGCAGCGACCCTGCGACCATCCCCACACCGGGTAAAAGAAAGCACCGAGTACGTTCTCGCGGTCCCAGCCGAAGGCAATTCCCAGCATTATTCCAATCGCCAACCCCCTCTCTGCCTAAGAACCAAGCACACACTTCTATTCGGATTTCCTCCTCTTCCGGTTAACAGAGGCCGGGGAGATTGGGAAAGCTACTTGATCTTCATCCAGTACTTAGATCCTCAAAATGTACAAACTGATTAATTCCCACAGCACCTCCCCATGGGATGCAGGTATCCCATTCCCCATTCTGCAGGTTAGGAAAACACAAATCCAAAGCTGAGGGACAGGAAAGCCTTAAATCTTGCAAAACCAATTCCAGCAAAGTATTTAAGAAGCCCGAATTGAACCCGAGTGAGACAAGTGCTGACCAGCACCCAAACCAGAGCGTGACCCCGGATCTGGGCGTCCGGCCGCGCGTCGAACATCCATGTGCTCTGCTCCAGCTGGGTAGGGCAGCACCGGGGTATTTTGGTAGGACCGCACTCCCATCTCCCTACCCAAGGAGTGGCTAACGAGTTGGAAAACGTTCAGTAGAAACCACTGCTCTTACCTTCCGCTACATCATCATCTACAGCGCCTTTCACCTGAGAAAAACACCATTGAATGTCATTTCCTCCTCCAGCTCCTAAAAGACACAAGAAAGACAAATGAGGCCACCCCCCACAGCAAGAGCCCGTTCGTTACCGACCGAAAACGTCACCGCACACGCCTCCTTCCCCAGCAGAGCTGGGGCTGTCACAAACCGCCCCTCCCCACCTTTTCCCTTTACCCACGGATTTTCCTCGTTAACGCTTTGCCAGCGTTCAACGCGACTTTTGGCAAAACCTGCACCAGTCATGAGGGGCCCCCGCACTCAGCGCTCGTGGGGAGAGCCGCGACGGACCCCCGCATCCAGTGCTCGCGGGACCAGGGCACCGCGCCACTGCCAACTTCAGCTGCGTTTACAGGGCGCAGGACATCTCGTCTCGCAGGGAGCTGCTCCTTCCTCCACACACACAGAGCTTCAACAGCGACCGCCGGGAGATGCCTGGAGCTCCTGGAGGAGTTCAGCCTCCGCTCGGCACGCGCCAAACGCGCCACTCGCGGCCGCCTTCTCCGGACGCGCTGCACCCCACCCACGCGCGGGGGGCTGAAGGAGAAAGAAGTTGACCACAGGCTCAGAGTCCCTCCGCAGAGGCGAGGAAAGCAACCGCCAGCCGCGGGGAGAGCGGCGAACCCGCGAGGGTGACAAGTTCTACTACCAGAGAAAGCGGAGCGCCGCGGGAACTTGAGGAACATGACGGCCCGGGCGGGAGGCAGGGACTCGCTCCAGCCCACGCCGACACCCCCACCCACCCCTCCTGCTGTTCTCCCGG